GCTGCCAGGTATTCGTCCGCGACAAACTACTTTTCATGTCAATCAACATAAATCCCCCATTGACAGAATTTGCTCAAAGTATAATAAATACGCAAATATCATTAAGTTTGGTATCTTCGAGGTATCATATTCAAAACTCAAATTAAACCCACGAGAGGTTATGAATTCCTGATTCTGCTGACGAGTGTGAACGTACCCCTATAGTTTACTTGTTCACTACTGCGTTTATATTCGCTCACTTGGTTTTTCTTTAAGTCTTTTACTGTTTAAGTCTTTTAGTCTTTTTGTTGTTTCAAAACTGTACTTGTAGATGATACCTGTTTGTTTCGAAATAAATAAATAAAAAATAAATAAATAAATACTGCCATATGACAGCTGTCATATCGCATTCGAAATGGTTTTCATTCTCTCTCGAATCCAGCTTCAATAGTAAAATAGCCTAATCAATATTTGTATTTCATGTCCTTTCATTCAATTTTTGAGCATATCGTGTATTTTCATTTTCAACTTTAATTTCAAAAAATATCAATGAGAGCCGCTAATGACGATGTTTCAATGTGAAATTCTTCCATTTACTATATTGTGTAGCAATCCTGTTAATGATGTTTGATTGATGTCTGAATAACGAATGTTTGGAGTACAAACTGTATAGATAAAGGTAGATAAGTAGTCGTTTCGAGAGAGCTTTTAGTTCCAGTTTTTGTCTAAAAGTTACTTCTTTGCATGATTTATACATCTTTGTGAAGAGTTCATTTTGAAATTGATTGCTTTCTTCCTTTCTTTGGAAGATCCCCACATTTTTGTATGAAGATGGAAGAGGAGAAATCCGAAACTTTTCTCATCCAAAAATGAATCTTAACTGGAAATATATTCCTCTCAATTTAAACAACACACTTCATTTTATTTTAATTTAAAGATGGAAAGCGCTTAATAAAAGACCCGTTATTTGGTTGGTGACAGCTTTTTTTTTCAGTTTTTGTTTTGATAAGGTAATATTTCAACATTTAAATATTTATTCTTATAATGGAAATGATATTTTATTTTGAATATATTGACTTCCGATTGAATTAGTATTGCATCAGTAGCAGCCAGCATTGGTCAGCAGAAGAGGTTCGATTCTACTCCTAATCACTGTATTAAACGAATGTCGAAGTTCTGCTTCACCCAGCATACTCTCCAACCTATCGTCAAGCGACTACCATCTTTCTAGCACTTGGCAACAGTGCACTGATTTGAATGACGCTCATATTTTGATCAAATTAAATGACTACTGTTCAATATAGATTCAAGAAAATGGACAAAGCTGTGCAGGAATCGACGGCTATCCATCGTATTTTGTTAAAAACTGTGCAGTCAGTTTATGCCACCCACTCTGTAAACTTTTCAATACATCTATTCAGTCTGGTATCTTCCCAAAGATTTGGAAAACGGCTCTTCTCGTCCCGATATATAAAAACTCAGGCAGTAGAAATCTANCCAAACAGTTGTTGGACTACAGTAGGCATGAACTACGATGTCTAACAGGCCTTCTTACAGATCACTGTCATTTGAATCATCATATTCAGAGACTTAGACTGTCGGAAGACAGTGTGTGTCGTCTGGAAAATTATGAAACAGCAGAGCATATACTTTGTGCCTGCCCCGCTGGGGACTGAATCAGGTTCTTTGAGTTCGGCAGATCCGTACTGAAATGAAAGACATGAAAGACCACTCTCCATACAAACTAATCGGCTTCGTTAAGAAGCTGGGTGTGAATAGGTGTGAGCCACAATAAACCCTTGTGGGTTGCGGTGGAGGGTCGAATAGAATAGACTAGTTGTTTCATCGGAACAGTGTCAGGAAAAATATATTTTCGAAAAATTGTTATATTTGATAGTCACTTTTTCATCTTTCAAATATTTCCATTCCATCTTTTTATTCAAATCTTTCAAGGTCACTTCTATTTTTTTTATATTAAAGTAAAAGTAAAATACTCACCAACCCCTGGAGAGTCATGAATGACCCTTATCCCTTTCTCCTCTAGATGTTTCCTCGGTCCAATTCCACTCAACATCAGCAAATGGGGAGAATTTATGGCACCAGCTGAAAGTATCACTTCTTTTTTCACCAACACAGTATGTTTCTGTCCATCTTTTATGAATTCAACTCCGTAAGCTCTTCTGGAAGTGGGGTCTATGAGCACCTTGGTCACATGCGAGTACATGGAGATGTGCAAATTCTTCCTTAGTCTAATAGGGCGTAGGAAGGCTTTGGCAGTGCTACATCGGGCTCCCCGCCTCATGGTGTATTGGTAAAGTGCAAATCCTGTTTGTTTCTCACCATTGACGTCACGTATGTCGTAGCCCATTTCTTGGCCGGCTTCTAAGAAGCCAATGCCGAGAGGGGTATTGTAAGGGCTGTCCTGAACAGTTTGGTAACCACCTGAAGATAGAAAACGGGTTGAAAGATCATACATCTTTTTCAAACAGAGACATATTGAAACACCAAATAGTATAAATGTTACGGGTAATGCTAGAAGATGGAGTAAACCTAGGTTTACCGGGTTGACTTAGAATTACCCAAGTTTTTTGGGTAAAGTCCGAAAAATAAATAGAATAAATTTTAATTCGAGCTTTACCCATACTCACTAAAGCACAAAGTCTAGGTTCCGGCGCACTTATATAGGTTAGGTTTAGCAATTGTTCAAATTAAACTTTTAAATATTCTCAAGGTTAGGTTAGATGGATTAGGTTAGGTTATTTAGGTTACGTTGGTTAATTGTGCTTTTAAACATTCTTATTTACATCTTAGGTCCATTAACAGAAGCGCGCTGGGACCTTAACTAGGCAAACCCTGCTTTCAGGAAGTCAAGGTTATAAAATGTGTAATTGCAAAACAAAATATTTTACAAAGAAGTGTTCATGCAAAGCTCCAGGAAAATGTTGCAATTCAAAATGCCACAGTTGCCACAAATGACAATTTCAATAACATTCATCGGTAGTAGTTCCTTGAACTAATTGTCCTACAAAATTTCAATATGTTTGTGCTATCAAATGTATCGTGTTCCTGCTCGCTTTATGTTTATGATCTTCAAGCAATTGTGGTCGCCTTTGTGAGTTTTATTAATAATAACAGTTTGAAATGTCCTTTGATTTCAATTTCATCAATTAACTAGAATAATTTTCAACATAACCTAACCTAACCTAACCTACCCAATCAGTATTGGGTAGATCTAGGTGAGAATGGATGAATCCCGAATTGAAATTCATTTTACTCATCATTCGGACTTAACCCAAAATGATTTGATAGTACTTAGTCAACCCGGGTAAACCTAGGTTTACCCATCTTCCAGCTCTACCCGTAACATGAACACAAAATTCTGATGTGACAACTATACAGTTCGAGACTAAAGCAACGTAAAGTGATAAAAGTACTGAAAGAATAGTATGGCGTCAAAACTCATTTTCAGAATTTAAGTGTACAGTGGGACAAGAATTATTTGTCTATTCTTCGAAAGATATTTTTCCATGGAGGAGTCAATGCTTCTCACTGTTTCTTAGGTGAACGCTGTATGTTCAAGAAATAAGGTTGATGTTGCAAAACATTTTCATTTATTCATCAATTTTGTCAGTTTCACCTTTTGGTATGTTCCTGAGGTCTCTCAGCGATTCGGTTTTTTCTCCTCAATCGTCGCAAAACGCCGTCTTTTCATGGGCCTCTTCAATTTTAGGAATAAAAAAGCGTTGCAGGGGGGCAAATCTGTTAAATACGGTGGCTGAGGCATGATTACGTTATGGTTTTTATAAAATTCTAAAATGTAACTGATGAGTTAAACAATATGTATGAACAAGAAAGCTACTGAAAACACTTATCCTGGCCAGAAAAAAAACGATGTCTTTTGACGCGCGTTTCGCTAAGCAATCTGGCATCATCAGGAGATGACTGAAATGCGTGGGACAGAATTGCTCCCAGTTCGCTGTTTTCACAAGCAGCATGAGGGTAGGGCAATGGGAAATCTAGACGAACCATTTCTTAACATGATAAAGTTCACCTGTCGTGTGATTACGCAAGAGTGTGAAAAGAGTTTTATCAGGTATGAGACCTTCGTTACCGCGGTAATTGAAAAAAAACCATCAACATCACCTTCACTCTTGATTGACTCGACCTTTTTTCGGTTTCGGATCAGTTGGAAGGACACATTCTGAAGCTTATTGAGTAATTTGCATGTCAAATTCGTATACCCATGTCTCATCACCAGTAACAAGGCGTTTTATGAATGTAGGGTCAGAATTGACCATGTTTTCATCGATCTAGCACTAGTCGAGCGGTAAAGCGTTTCATTTCTAGAAATCGTTTAAATTGGTACCAACTGCTTCGTGAGACGTGAATATTTTAGCATCTTGCTTTCTCAGTCTCGAATGACGATTTTCAAATATAGAGTTTAGTTGATAGCCGATGAGAGCGAGGGAAATCTCCGTCTGTATCCCAACCGCTTCCAAATTCAAACATCATGCAGAGACACC